TAATGCAGTGGAATAATGTAGCGTTTAGTTTTCTGTGGCTTTTTTTGTCTATCAGCTGTATCGTTCTGTGCCGAGAAAAGGAGAACTTCGTTTGGGGTGGGGGACGGGGGATTTAGCGCGTGGTGTCTGTCCACATAGCGTTCTTTGGTTCTTAGTCTTTGAAACTCGAAAACTTATCCTACAAGATGAATTTCTTATCGCACGTTCCTGGCCGTAGGCGCCAAGAACTCAGCTAATGAAATTTTCTAGATCTTGAAAAAAAACTCAACAGTGTGCAGGCAAAGAAAATGTATTTGTGAGATTGGTTACTCATGTCAGTGAAGACGAAGTTGTCTTCCTGGTGGTTACCATAGAAACGAAACGTGCCAGCTCTCTCGGTAGAAATTTGTCTTTCTTTTTTAAGACGCGTGAAAACTCTTAACAAGAATTTTCTTTCTTCATGGTACCTGGTGACCGAGTAAATTAAAATATTCCAAATTAAGTAGTTATTGGTCATTTCTGAGATGAATGTAACTCAGGCTTCGTACAGGGGGGGCCTGTTACACTCAACTGCAGTGTACCAGGGCATCTTGGATTTTCTTTGTTTGCAGACTCCTTATAATATTACTATCAAATCTGAATATTGTCCTTTTGAAGTGTGAATAAGTACATATAATAATTTAGATTTATATTATGAACATGGAAAAGGCTTTTTAACTCACCCGTATTGGAAGGAAACCATAGTGTAGGCAGCCTGGATTAAAACGTGATGTAATTGTAATATTTGCCTCCCCCCCCCCCCCCACAGTTCTAAACTCCCCGATTTCCATGTTTCGTTGATTGAAAACAAAACTATTCCGTTGCTTCTAGTCGAAAGCAGAAGCGAAGAAAGTTCATAAAAAAGAAAAGTTATAAAGGCCTGGGGAGTTTTTTTAAAAAGGAACCTGTCTTAATTTGCTCCTTACTAAGATGCTGTACAGTAAATGTGTTGACTATTTCTTCTTGGTGTTTGTGTCCGTGAAAATGTAAGTAGATTAGGTCATGTAGACCCAAGTAGATCATAGAGAAGCTCTGTCCCTTTTCCCTGCTAATCGTCGTTTTCTCTTTTCCTCTCCAAGAACTTGTTTTGTTCAGAAATCAGTTTGCAGAAATATGCTGCAACCCTCAACATATTGTATATTGACCCGAAAGCGAAAAAAACAAAGAACACAAATCTTAATTTTTTTTCTGACATGCAGGATTGTGTGTTGTTGTGTCTTGTGTCGTCAGTACGTGTGTTTGTTTGTTTGTTGTTTATTTGTATGTATGATTTAGTCTGCCTTGGTAGATTTAGTGGCTATTCCAGAATGCGAACGAAAGAAAACTCTTGGATCTGCTTTGAAAAGTATGATCAAAACTTCCCGAATCAGTGATCACGACAGTTGATATCAGAGTAACTATGTAGAGCTTTAAGCCGGAGCTGTCATATTAAGTTTTATGTCAAAATAAACTATTACTCAATAGTTCGTGTACAGTCAGAAACCGTCTCATCTTTGTGTCTCTGAAATAACAAGGGTTGCACGTGGGTTGAAGACAGCGGTCTAGCGTCGGGCATGGGTCAGGGGATTAATTCTGGTTAACCGCGGGCCAATCTCCCGCGCAAAATTTCAAAAGAAAACGAGAGAAACCGTTGTCTCGCAAAAGAAGCGAAAGATTAATGGAATGTTCGAAGAAATCTGTAGAAAGAAATAAAAGTGTACATGCGCAGACGATTGACAGCTGCGATGTTGAGTGGTAGGGATAATTAATGCAACTTTCAACTTGCTTAGAACGTCAACGAAGCACTGTTCTTGGTGGGAGGGTGAGGGCGCTGTATATCATTCTCTTTGTAACTTCACTTTATTCGCCGAGTGTCCAGCATAGACGATTGACGACTTCGTAAAAGGATTAACCTATTTTTCCAGGAGTGGTGTAAAACGAAAATGCACGGCGACGTCAAATAGCCGACAGTGACAAGTGAAGATACGCCGGTCAGAGCGGGAAAGTGGTAGAGGAACTTTAAAGCTATGATGAAAGACCTGGCTTCCTTGTAGTCGGCTTCGCAGCCAATTTTGGGTGAAATGGCCGAGAAAAGGACTAACTTGCCCTGCCCTTTAGAAAGTCGGGATCTCGAGTGCATTTGAGTGGGAGACAATTCAGAGAATATTGTGTGCAAGTTGCCACGGGCAGACCCATCAGGGTCAGTTCTGGGCACGAAATACTCTTTTGAGTGTTTGAGTGATAAAAACTGTTATGAAAGTTCCACTCCCACGAATACCGTCAAACACTTCGAATAACTTCATAGAAAATATACGATTTATTTGTCTAATTGACAGCCTCTTAACAGCACTCTCCTTCCTTTACGCCCATCCTTTACAATCATAATTACAGTTAACTAGAGCTTGGATTCAAGATCGTCAAGGACCTCTCCAAGACAATGATTTCACCTTAAGAAAGCCTACGCCCACTAGCTGTTCGGAAGAGAGATCAGACCACAGTTAAATTCGAAGGTGGATCAGCGCAGCATCTTTTGTTAACTTATCCACTGATAGTGATTTATCCGTCTATCCAAACATCCAAAAGTTCAAGATAACGGTACTCGACTAATAAGACAACAGAGTTGTTAGTTACATTTTATCTGCGACTTAATGCGAGCCTCTACTTGTTTCTTATCGACTTGTTCCCCAATCGGGAATGAAGTCTTCTTCAGATACGTTTGATTAACTTCAGCCACGAAAAGTGACTCTGAAACAAATGATTATAATAACATGCCCTGCTTCCTACAAACTATTGCTAATAAGCACTATCGAAAGGTACAGCGATCCTTCCATAGTTTTACTCACAAGAGAGACACCTTTCAAGGCGGTATAGTCGTCTCACTTTTACAGCCTTTCAAAGTTTGGCCCTCAATCAATAATGGGTCGGTTTCGGAACCTCGAACTCTCCATGTATTCTGCAACGATGTTTCTGTTGGCTCGCTTGCGGCACTAAATGCCACGAAAATGCGAGGGATTTCTAGCAACCGCTGGAAAAACACGATACGACATGGAGTTGAAATTTTGGTAGGTCTAAATCTCTCATCTTTTTTCCTTTTTCTAGTTTGAGTTTTCCTCAATGGTTAGATCACGATACAAAACTTATTCGCATTTTGTTACTACAGCAATACCGTATTAGCAGTGATACTGCGCAATACCTTGGTCGATATAAATATTTAACAACATTAAATGCGGATCTTCAGTTTTTTGTGTTCACAGGTCAGCTATCCTCGCAACAAAGCTAAAGATAGCGTATGGTAATCATGTCCCATAAAATTCACAACTTTGGCGATAGAGATAATTTTTTAGGCATGCGCTCAGCTTAATCATCTCACACGAACGAATTCCGCTCATAACAAATTTTAGCATATATTAAAACAAAAAAAGTTTAAAAGCATACCAACATAAATCTATAGGGTAATTTCATATTATCAACTGAGTTGATAATGTAAATTGGCAACCATAAAGAGTTTCAAAGCTGATGTTTCGAGCATTAGCCCTTCGTCAGAGCGATAGACAAAGGGCTAACGCTCGAAACGTCAGCTTTTGAACTCTTTACGGCGGCCAATTCACGTTATCAGTTCGGTCGAAAAAACTAAATCACCCTGTTATACTCTCCTACCGACGCAACACCAGAGTTTTTTTAGAAACTCACCTCCTCTATTCAATATAAATCTATTTTTACCACGTCTACACTACAAAACAATAAAGAGAAAATGTTCCGTTCCGTTTATAAAGTATTTCTCTTTCATCTATGTTCACAAAAAAATCGTATCACGGTGAACCTGATTATCTCTCTCTTTTTCACCTTATGCATATTGTCTCGTATACTCTCCCACCGACGCAACACCAGAGTTTTTTTAGAAACTCACCTCCTCTATTCAATATAAATCTATTTTTACCACGTCTACACTATAAAACAATAAAGAGAAAATGTTCCGTTCCGTTTATAAAGTATTTCTCTTTCATCTATGTTCACAAAAAAATCGTATCACGGTGAACCTGATTATCTCTCTCTTTTTCACCTTATGCATATTGTCTCGTAGCTCAAAACAGCCGATGTGAAATCGCCCTATGTACAGCATTTCGTACAACGTGCTGAGATCAATTATCCTGTGCGCTCTGGTGACCGCATCAACGTCTTGCGTGTACCATTATAAGCATGCGGAATGTCAATGCGCGCAGAGGACATCCAAATTGACTATCTTCACAATTTAAGGCTTTGACAAAACACATCATGACAACTGCTATTTTTGAATTGTTTCATGGAGTAGGGAAATTCCAACTACAAGTACCTCTCTCTAAATTACCCTAACGATTCAAACTTCAGCTATCTTTTCTAACATTTTACTGATTCAGTACCAAATTGTTGATAAAAGCTATCGTCATCTATAATTGCATTTTATCATTAACGACCTCTCTATATTTTTCTGAGGAAATATCTTTACGCTTTATATTTAAATGTACACAACCAATAGTATCAAAAATTGTCTCACGTTGGCTGTTCAAGTTCATCGATTATTTCCTCCATACACGGTCTCTCCTCAGGCTCTGTTTGCAAGCATCCCCGGATGAGAGCTCGAATCACACGGTTTGTTACAAGTGCAACTTGCTGTTCACGCTTTTCAGGATCTGGCATTTCCTGGATCGACATCTCACAAAGAAGAACACCAAAACTGTATACATCAACCTGAATATCGAAAACAACTTACAGTAAATTCAATGATATTAACCACAATAGCGGCAATCAACTCGGTGGTAATGATAATGTCGATGATGATGTGATAATGACCGCAACCTCGCGTTAAGTGAATAAAATTTGAGGATACACACCATTGACAAAGGGTCATTGTGGAGAAAAAAACAAATATTAAATCAAACATACCTTAACGGTTTGGTTTTTAGTGACTGCTTCAGGTGCACTGTAAATTGGCGCTCCAGGTGCAACTGTCATGGTATGTTGCATGA